ATCTTTCTCAAATTTTAAATGTAGGTTCCCCTTGATCCCTCGTTGTGTATGTTATATTTTGAGACTGATCATAAAAACAAAATGGATTAAAAGAAGAACTAAACAGATCTTTCTCATATTGCAATGATCGATTCTATTTCTTTCACATTAAGTACTGTACTAGTAAATATGTGAAATGACAAACTCACTTTGAAGGTTGGCTTTCATACACATTAGTATTAAGTTTAGATCAAAAGTTACCTCAAGGTGCATTTACTGTTAACATGACTCGATCAAACAGATTAAAGGAAAGAAGAGAAAAGATCGAACTAACAAAGAACTAATGAAGATGGTACAAAGGTGGGCGCAAGATCCCTCTGGGATCTCTTGTTAAATTTGTTATCTTTATTTCTGTACTAAGAGTGAACATGGTGTAAAAATGATTGGAACTGGAACAATTAACACTGGCTAAAACACATCAATAGAAAATGATAACACAAAAAACAGTTACAAGATTTGAAAGCACATCCTCAGAGGCTTTTTAATCCTCAGTAATATATTGCAATACGTATCGCAATTAATATTCAGTTAAATATTGCAGTATATTGAAATATAGTTTTGCTTCAAAGTACTCAGCCTACTTATGGTAAATACAGTATACAGATTTTGGAAAATTGTGGCCTATTGAGTGAGAAGTTTAACTGAACTACTCAGTAGTACATCCTCGATATCCAGGGGTTACGCTCACTTTCACTCTCTGCACCCCTGGAATATGTCCTAGTAAAATTGAAGGCTCAGTGTGTGCCACCTTGTTGATGAGACAAGAATACTAGTTCGATCCTTTGATGTACATCAAAAGAATCTCGCGGTCACGTAACGGTAAACATTGACAGGCTTTGAAGACGGGCGTCTCTCCTTTGTAATTTTCAAAGGACAGGTATCAGCCTAGCTATTGGTCAGTTTTTTTTACCTGACACCATTCTAACAGCTATCTTCGTGTCTTCAATTTTGCTATGACATATTCCAGGGGTGTAGAGAGCGAAAGTGGACGTAACCCCTGGATATCGAGGATGCAGTAGTGAAGCAGACATAAAACTTCTCATACAACAAACAGTACTTTATAGAAATGTCACGATAATCCTAGGAGATGTATCTCGGATGATAATGGGGTCTCCAACTAATTTGGACTAATACATTTGAAGAGGACGATGCCTAAACTTATACAAAGCGTATGCAAAGGCATGTATATATGGTGGTTGGGGGTCTCATACTGTTGGACCATATAGCTAGTACAGTACAGTACCTTGAAGGCAGCAATATCGAAACATTTTCAAGAAATATACAGGTATAGGTTTTGATCATTGTAGGAGTTGAATCTGGCAGTGGTGGGGTCCCAGATCGTTGGACTTGTGCCCCTGGAGGCGGTCATACAGGCTGCTGAGTACTACATGGAGAAGGACAACTTGTTTATCCTGGAGGAGGATCAGAAGCTACGACTCGTTATCAACAGACTCGGACTAAACTCCCTCGGACCCTTCAGTCCTAAAGAGCGAATCATTGAGTAAGTGTTAGTGTGATCAGTGTACTTAACTAGATTAATGGTTGATTGATTAACAAAGCTAAACAGCATATAAATCTAGAACCGTAAAACCCAAAACCTAACTTTAAAATAATATCCTGCTCATTTAAATGCATGTAATCAGAATCATGGAAACAGATTGGCATAATACAACTACATAGGATGGTGATGAATCCTACCAGATTTCAAAGAAATTTAATGAAAATTTCAGAGGACTAATAGATGTCTGAAGGAGACTACATAAATAGATAAAGGGCAATAACTCTAGGCTATTGCATTATATTTACTGAGAACTAGTGTCCAGACAAGGTTGTGTCTGCCGACAAGCTGATTCCAGCATACCCCTGTAACTTTGTTGCTTGGAGAATAAAACAAATATTTGCTTAATATAAATAAAAATATTTCAGTTCACTTGCTTAATTTGTAATAAAAAATATTTATACTGTACATTTTAACAGTCAGGATATCTAGAACAGTTATCAGTGTGCATAAAAGATATTCCCCATTACTCAATTTTCCAAAAAGGATTTATATTTATGATAATTGATTTCCGTTTCAGATATATGATAAATGATGAGAAGGATGGACCACTGATCAGTATGGACATTCGCGACTTTATCCTTACAGTGGGGTCAAGGTCACCGACTCCAGGTGGAGGCTCTGTGGCTGCGCTGTCAGCTGCCTTGGTAAATCATTGTTTTCCTAGTGCAGTGAATATGTATACACCTTAGAAACCACTGCCACAACCAGTAACTATAAATTTGAGACGTCTCTGATATGGTCACTGTAACTAGTTGAGCTACCTAAACAGTGGTAGTTCTCTGGTCAAGTCCAATTACAGTGTTTTAAGGAATGATATAAAAAAAATCAACATTCATGAGGTCATAACAACATTGGCTCTCTGGACATATTCCATGAATCGCATTAGGTCACCTGTTTTATGCAAATATGAATGTAATTTACATCAATGGGTCCAAACATACAGAATTTTCAAAAACAACCATTAGGAACTTATGTATGCAAACTACATTGGAATTCCTAACATTTAGAAGAATTTGCTACCGAAATGGGTAACGACTAGGCATAACTGGACAGAGCAAAAAAATAAAAATGTAATATCATGTTTCAATTTTTTTTCAAAATACAATTGTTTTTTAGCTCACCTGCCCGAAGGGCAAGTGAGCTTATGTTATGGTGCGGCATCCGGCGTCCGTCGTCCGTCTGTCCGGCGTCAACTTTTTGCTTTAAACAACTTCTTCTCAATAACCAAAAGGCCTAGGAAGATGATATTTGGCCAGTAGCATGCTGGGATCAAGGGCTACCAAGTTTGTTCAAATAAATGACCTTGACCCACTTTCAAGGTCACAGGGGTCAAATATGTTAAAATCTTCAAACAACTTCTTCTCAATAACCAAA